AGACACTGTATAGTACGACAGCCCACGCGCTGCGTGTAAAGTATACCCTGAATAGGGTACCCTCAGGAAAGTGTACAGTGAGAAAGAAGCTCCTAGTACAGAGCGAGTCAGTGATCACAGATGGCAACAGAAGTTATGAGAATGCCAGTAAAAAGTCAAAGTAATATTAAACAAAATGCCAAAGTTAGAGAGAATAAAATCTGAACTGGCAAACCACTGCTGGGAATATCCAGATTTGGGAATCCAGTATGACACATTAGGAGCAGGGAACACCCCTAATGCATATCCAAATCTGGGGGTCTGGTATTAGCACTAAGCCTGAATATTGCTGCTACAGGTGAATAATTATAATCTGGGAGTCAAGTATGACACAGATAAGCAGGACACTCCAAAGTTAGAGGTCTGGTATAATATTCCACAAACATGTTGGATGCTGGGGGTAAAACCAGGATCTGAGGTCTGGGATGACACTGCCAGCACCTGTAATAGAAGAATCTTCAGTTTCAGAGAAAAAGACACCCTGCCTCATCAGAACACTAACAGGGTTATTCACTGAAGGGTGAAGAGTTTGGAGAAGGCCGGAGAAGTGAATAATCTAGGACAACATAGCTGATTTGGAAAAATTCTTCAATTCAGATCACTTTCCAGTTCAGCTATGTTGTCCTAGATTATTCACTTCTCCTGCCTTCTCCAAACTCTTCAGCCTTTAGTGAATAACCGTGTTAAGCTAAATTTAGCTTGTTTAGTATGTGCAGAAGGTACAGCCATTCGTGTCCAACCTCCTAGAGGCAGGAGCTATACTCAGGTTTTAAGAACTGTGTCCCCAGTGAACACTAGAAGAAACTATATTTTATATAGAATGTTAGCAAGCAATTTCTGAATCGCTAGCTTCTTCCATTGCACCCGCCAGTTTTTAGACCTTGATCATCCAGATTATATATATGAACGATAAAACACTGCTTTCTAACTAGCATATATTATAGTATACATTCATGGATGTGGTACCTTGGCCCTAACCACAAGTTCACCACATCTTAATATAGCATATAAAGAAGATAAGATACTGTAGAAGTAATCATTGCAAACTCTTTAACACAAATTATATTAGAGCTTTTTTTCAGAAACACACACACACAAAATGAAGAAGATGGATGCAAATCAATGATTTAGAGAACTTTAAGTTTTCATTTGCTATTTAAAACACTGTTTAATATATTTTTATTGTACATATTAATGCAGCGCAGAATGTACCAGATATAAGTCATTACCTACACCGAGGGCTTGTTCACACTAAAATGTAGCAAAGTGCATAAACAAGGGAAAATACATTGTTTTCAATAAGACCTGTTTAGGCTATTGCATTGTGTTGTAGTTAATTAAAAAAAAAACTTCTATATGCTGCATGTTGTAGTGCTTGCCTGTATTTTGTGATTTAGGTTAATTGACTGGAACCTTTAAAACAATACCATACATATCAATGTGCAGAAACACAATAAGCAATGTTAATTGTTTTGTGTGAGACCAGCTTGAAGGCTTGTTTGCTCTAGAATTGTCATTGCCATTGAACATTTGCAAATGCAGCAAAATACATGGACAAGAGAAAATGGGGATGCATTTAAAAGAGATATATTTTTTATATTGGAAAGAGAAAGGTGACATCTAGTGGTGTACATGAGAATAGCAATAAGCATTTATGGGCTGACCAAAGATGTTGAAATAAAAGAAGGCAGGGGGTTATTTATAGTGGTTAAGCAAAGTCAGGTATTTTCCTTTTATCTAACTTTAAATTTCAGTCATCCTCAGTTTTTTTTTTTTCTGGTAACTTTAAACAGCAAAGTCAAAACCTTTACAATTAAAGTGGACCTGACGTAAAAAATGAAGATGTGCTATCTTATAGGGAATATCTGGAAATGTTATTTGTACCTAAAATACCAGTAATTTATTGGAGGGAACAGGACTCCATTCTTTTACATATGGGTATAGCTGCCCTAGGCGGCTGGAAATTTTGCAAAGCAGAAAGGGCATAGTACCATCTAGTGGCTTTACCCTTGCATGTGCAGCACAAGCTCAATAGTAGCAAGCAGTGAGCAAATCATGGAAATGGAAGGTAACATTTCAGAAAAAAACTCTCAAATGTGGTGACAGACCAACAATGCAAAAAGACAACCACATATAGGGGAACAGAGTTGTGTCCTTTAATAAACTACTGGTTAAAAGGATTTTACAGTGAGTAAAAATGTTTTATATTTTCTCCCAGCATTCACTGAGAGACACAGGGCTCCATTCCTTTATATATGGGATGATCAAAAACTAGACTCTGACAACTCACACCACATCTAATGTTCGCAAGGCAATCTCCTTCGGATGAAATGGTGATGGACAGAAAGACAGAAGCAAAATATCATCTTTGAGGTGAAAGAAAGATTGGAAAAAAAAAAAGATTGCTGAGGCTTAAAAAATGACCTTATTCATAAAAAGGAAAAGCAAGGGCAAGGCCACTTTATTAAACAGAGACAAGAGAGATGGTTTAAAGAAAGGCTTTTAAAGCACTAGAAATACCAAGGTATGGTCCTATGGAGCAAGGGGTTTCTTCAAAGGGATACAAACATGAGAAATACTTTAGATAAAAGGTATGAACCAGAAAATGTCAGGCCAAAGATCACTGGAACAAAGACACCAAGGCTGAAATCTGTCTTTTAATGGTGCTCAGTGCCAGGAGCTGATCCATGCCTGACTGAAGAAAGCTCAGAACCCAAGTAACTGAGCAGTAGACATGTGCGCTGCCCAAAAATTCGTTTCGTTTCGTTTCGTTTTAAATTCGGATTTGTGTTATTTCGTTTTTCGGGATTCGGGTGTGAAAGTCAATTCGGATTCGGAATTCGGATTCGGACGAAATTCGGTAGCGTTCGCACGAACGTTCGTTTCGTTTTCTGTTCTTATTCGTTTCTTATTCGTTTCGTTCGTTTGCAGCAAAAGTGACATTTGAGGGGGAAAAAATATTTTTCTCCTTCTCTAATGTCACTTTGCTCCAACGAACGAAACGAATAAGAAACGAATACGAACAGAAAACGAAACGAACGTTCGTGCGAACGCTACCGAATTTCGGAAATGGAAATTCGGATTCGTTTGCATTCGTTATGTCTGTAATTCGGAATTCGGATACATCCGAATGTCCGAATTTACGAAAATTCGTCCGAATTTCGATTCGGAACGAAACGAATCGCACATGTCTACTGAGCAGGCCCCAATAATAAAACCAAGGGACTCCCATCATAAGTAGTAAAGCATACCACATATTATGATACACTCTGCGTGAGGAGGGCTTATGAGCCAGAGCATTGTAGAGATTACCACGTTGGAGAGACCTTGTGTCTGCACTGGTGATGATCCTTGTCACCTTGCATTTGTGACAAGATCCTATCAGATCCACGTCCACTGTAGGATTAGTGGTAGCAGAGGCGGGTAGCTCAGAGGAAGACCTGCATGCCTTACATAATGACTTTGTAGCATACAGTGCAAGCAGAAATCAGGCTCTGCAGTGAAGGTCCGGAAGCATCAGCATGCCAAATGGTCTTCTTTCTAGTGTTGGACATAGCACCAAAGCCAGGGAAGAGTCTTAGGAGAGGTGTAGGTGATGTCACCATAGGGAGTATGTAATGTATTTCTGACAAACAGAAAAGGTCCTGTAGCAGCATTTAAAACTCAGAGGGACCTGGCTACATCCATTTTCCTACAGCCCTTGAGGATCTGAATGGTCTCTAAAGGTGGTGAGAATCTAATTCTGTTTGATGTGAAAGCTTAAAGGAACTTAGGCACACATTCATGGATCAGTTGTAGAACTACTTTGCTGGGGGGGGGAAGTAATATATGATTCCCTGCAACCTACAGCTTGTATCTTAGAAATTCTAGGAGCTGAAGTTACTACCAGAAAAGACAGAGCCTTAAAGATCAGATTCAGCATGGAGCAAGATTTGACTGGTGAAAATTAAGTGAAGCCTTACTACAGTCCTCAAGCAGTGGACTAGAGGATTTCCTGCCCATCTAGAATTTATCACGACAGAGATGGCAGGGATTAAAACCTTGAGGATGCTCCAGCTTAACCCAAGATCCAGGCCCACCAGAACATTATAATATAATGGACTATTGCTGCGATTTGTTGTATTCCTCTGGGATTCGTTGTCTCCTTTAAGCAGTGGTTCTCAACCTGTGGGTGGCTGTGTGATTTCTGCTGTGCTAGGTGAGAGTTCTCCTCAGCCCTCTCCTAGCGCAGCAGTGTCAGTTCTCCCGCCACGCCGCCAGATGTCGCTGCAGCAGCCACATCATCCCTAAATTTTACCGTTGGGGGTCACCACAACTTGGCAAATGTCACCACGGGGTCCCGGCCCTAGAAAGGTTGAGAACCACTGATGTAGAGTCTCGTTTTTATTGACACATGTCTATCACTTTCACCTTCTGAACACTAAACTGTAGCCTTGTAGTCTCTGGCATAGGGCGTCTGTAGTTGTTGACTGCGCAGCTTATAATATATTATAGGGACCCCTTTAAAATAATAAAGGGATCAGAAACAAAAACCTGGCAGGAATTGTAACTCGTTCCCACTCTATCCAAACCTTATATAAAAAATATATATGTTGCTGTTTCTATACCCGAAAATAAAGATTTCTTCGTTGGAGCTCTTACGGGTATTGTTTTAATCAACTCGCAACAAATCAAATATAAACATGGAGGAGTTTATCAAAACGGAAGCAGAAAGAATCTGATAGTGACCAATCAGCTTCTCTCTTCAGTTTGTTCACTTAAGCTGATTGGCTGCCATGCAGAGCTGCTTCAGATTTGATAACTTCTCCCAATAATATACAATTTAATTTGCCTGTGCAACTCTAATAACTTTAAATCAACACAGCAGTGAACCTAATGACACATTTATTTTTGCCACAAGCAATATGGCCGCCGATTACAACGTACCGGAAATGACGTTTCTTCTGACGCCCATTAACTGGTCGTCTATGGTGGATGGACTTGTTTATGGGGCGCTGCCATGCGGTTTAAGTCTCGGTAAGTGACTTGTGCTGGAGGTGTGACAGGAATATTCGGTAGTTGCTGTTCTGACTGTGCTGTCCCCAGGTACTTCCTGTGTGAGCTGGTCCTGGAGGACCCCCGCCGGAGGCAGAACATCTCTCAGGGCACAGTACTGCACACTATAAAGGAGGCAGTGACTCGCCTGCACGGGGACTTCGGGGCTTCTGCTGTGTCTATAGCCCTCTCAGGTGAGCCATAAACGTGTTATGAATGGTATTAACATAGGTCCAGTGAATTAACCAATTCATCCCTCCTATAAAGACCTAGTTTCTAGAAAGCTATATATTGTGTGTTAAAAGTGTATATTCGGTCCTTGTATGCTTTGTTTTCCTATTGCCCTGTGATACCAGTGATTTCTAGCAGTCTCATGTAATGTGTCTTTCAGTCTATGCCTCCTGAAGCATGCTCCCATTCTCCAGCAACTTCCATAGCGTAGTCGCAGGCTCTGACTGTCTCTGTTGCATATCTACATTCTCTCCCAGCATTTTGTAGCATTACATATACTGAATGTTATGTGCAGCCCTTTTTGTAATGTCAGGGGCTGGTTTTGTGGCCCCTATATCAAGAAAGATGACCACCACTTCCATAGATTATCAATTGAGAGACGGCTCTGAGGCTGATGGCATCACATCCAAGATGGCGGCACCCAGCAGTAGTCTCAGGGATTTTGCATGTCTACACATGTAAATAACCTGCATAGAGTACATTAAAGGAGAACTATGGGGAAAAGCCCTGACCCCATAGTTCTCCTTTTAATGTACTCTAATGTACACAAACCAGCGTCCTCCCTTGACCCAAAGCTCCGTATACCACGAGCTACAGCCGGAACGGATCCTGACAATGCTGTCTGGATCCACCCAGCAGCGTGAGTGACAGCGGCCTCTGCCTATCTATAGGCAGAGCCAGCTGTACCCTCCCCCGTCCGTTCCGCCAGTCAGCACTGGAGGATCGGACAGGGGAGGGGGGAATCCCTGCAGGGAGCCGTGAGTGACGGTCACGGCTCTCTGCAGGGATAGATCGCTCTCCTCCCGATCTACTGAGCCGATCTGTGACAGTCTCATTGTCACAGGTCGGCTAGAACTATGAGGTGAGTGATTTTTCACTCACCTCAGTGGGCCTCTTAGTTCTCCTTTAAATGCAGGTAGAGTGTTATGGGAAGATTTTTGTTGAAATGAATGGTCTTGGTGAGACTTAGGGGGCGCGCGCGAGCAGGAAAAAAATGCCGTCTGGCGACGGCAACCCGCAGATAGGAGTCAGCCGTCCGTCCGTTTTTTCTTAATGGGCGGATGGCAAGAGGTTAAAGTTGCTTTAATAAACGTTCTGCCTTCACTGAATGTTAATATTGATCTACTTTAATCATAAACTGTTGTCATGTGATTTTATGTTGTAGTGCGATACCTTAATGCATACACTGGCATAATCCTCATTCGGTGCCGGAAAGATTACCACCAGCTTCTATGGTCATCCCTCCCTTTCATCACCAACCTAGAGAACAGAGGTCAGCGGTATCCATGTTTTATAAACACATTACATATTGGAGGTAAGACAACTCTCCACTTTCTTCAGATTACTAAAGATGATAACCTGCGTAAGAAGCTGTAGGCCTCGTTCACACCAGACACAGTGTGTTCCAGCCTGATTCTGGCCGGAACGTACTTCGGCCAGCTGACTATGTTGTGGGGCAGGAGGGGGCGTGGCCGTCCATTGAAGTGCATGGCACTGTAGCCACGCCTTCCGGCCGCAGTGTGATCAGCCGCATGGGAGCACTAGACACATCAATGCCTGCAGTCCGGTCTGAAAATAGTGCTTGCAGCATTTTGTTCGGACCGCAGGCATTGATGTGCTTTGTGATCCCGTGCAGCCGATCGCATTGTGGCCAGAGGGTGTGGCTACTGTACTATTCACTACAATGGACCGCCACGTCCCCTCCTGCCCCACAACAGTCAGCAGGCTACAATGCGATGCAGTGGGCTCCGGCTAGAACTCACTGTCTGGTGTGAACGAGGCCTGAGATGTAAGTTACCATTTTGTTCTTTGTGCACAGAGTGTTGGTTCCAGCTTCATGGCATCGTGGTATTGCCGCTGTACAAGTATGTCATGCAGGAATTTGAGCTTCCAGATCAGGGTTTGTGCACATCTTGCTTCATGACAGAATCTTTTTTTGGTTAGCTGTGACTTGGTCTTATTACCCAAGTAGTGGTGGTCTGTGGTTTGCTTTCCTAGGGATAACACTTGTACACTTATATATTCTTACAGTGGTCCAGCTAGGTACAATGTAAGTGTATAGAAATTATCCCTGGCATGGCCACAGGGATCCTGTAAAGCACGTAGTGGCAGCAACTAACAGTGTCTTGGAACAGCTGGGATGTCACTGGTCCAGACAGAGAATGTCTAGTATACATAGTATTTGAGGTTGAATAAAGACATTAGTCCATCAAGTCCAACCTATTAGGATCTCATTCTAGGAGTACCTGTACCCCTGTATATTACCTGTACCCCTGTATATTACGGTACCTTAAGAAATCGTCCAAAAGTTTCTTGAACAATTCCACATTATTTGCTGAAATCACCACCTGTGGCAGTAAGTTCCAGACCCTAACTGATCTTACTGTGAAGAACCCCCTTCGCCCCTTGTGCTGGAATTTTTTTTCCACCTCTAGTTTTTGTAACGGAGTTAATTTTAAACAGTTTATCGCTAATGTTGCTACCACCATTAAACATATTGTACATGGAAATCATATCCCCCCTTAATCTCCTCACCTCTAATGTGAACATGTTTAAATTTAGTAGCCTGGTAGTATTCATTGAGGAAAATAGTAGGGGTGGGACTTTATCAAAACTAGAGCAGACAAAATCTGGAGTAGATTTGCACTGCAACCAATCGGCTTCTGTCTCATTTTCAAATCTTACCTGAGCAAACTGAAGAGAGATGCTGATTGGTTGCCATGGCCAACTGCTCCAGTTTTGATAAATTCCCCTCAATGTGTTTGCTGAATGGTCTCTGTGCCAAGCAAGCGACCTGTGTTTTAACAGCGAAGGGGAAGTTGGGCACAGCAGGTGCTCCTGGATCTGAAAGAGCACTGTAAGATGCTGTAGTAGTTGTGGCTACTACAGAATCCCTATAATTTCTGTAGACTTTCCTTGTGCTGAGCTGGACCCGTTGTAAGTGTATATACATTTTTCATATCTACAGTGTATAGAGTACTGACCATGTTCTATTTTCACAGGCACTATACGAACATGTCAGAAATTCCTTATCCAATACAACAGGCAACAGCTGAATCTATTACTGAAAAACTGCACCAGTTCTAGTAAGTAGAACTTGTCTCTTAACATGACCGTTTGGAAATGTTTGCAACTGATTTTTTTTTTTTCGGTTTTTTTTTTTTTTTTGTCCCCCCCCCCCATATCAGATGAGAGAGAAGCAATCCGTAAGTCTATAGCCAGCTGTTCCTTACAGAATGTGGAGGAGCCGAAGTTTATAACGGAGGATGAAGAGATGGAATAACCTGCATTTGCCACATAACCTGAACTTTGCATATGACAATGCAGGGGGCTACTAAAGCTGGCCATACACTAGGTGAATTTCAGTCGGTTTGCGATGAACCAGAGGAAATGCGCACAGTGGGTGCTGATGTCTGCACTTTTTCAGCTGGCATCCCTTGATCAGCTGATTGAAGGAGCTGGCTGGGAAATCTTTGAACGGACACAGTGGGCAGTCGATCAGCAGGCCGGCTCTGCTTGGTTATCCTGACAGCAGCTGTTGTCCGAATGCAATGAGATTCCTCGATCAACACTTGTAAACGTTAATGGAGAAATCTGTTCTATTTTCTTCCCCCAGCCCACGGATTGAACAAAGAAAATATTAGTGTATGGTCAGCTTTAGTTAGATTTTCTATGTTATTAAATATTTACAGTAGATACTGAAATGTAGTTCATTGTAACATACAGATCACTCATTGTATATACACATATGAAATAATATTTGTATATAATAAACATTTTGAATGTTGCATTGTTCAGTAATATAGCGATGGAATTCGCATCAGAAGTTTACATGTAAAGTAAGGGTGGGTTGAACGAGAAAAATAGAGCAATGTATGGCCAGCCTAAGGCAGATTGCTGTGGATCATGCTACAGAAACTAAAGGCTACAAACTTTACAGCTCAAAAAAGTGACCTGTATGCCTTCACAATATAGAAATCATTTATTTGGTATTGGTGCATCCCTAGTAAATATAAACTACTGCATATACTGTAGTCTACTATCCAGTAGGGTGGAGTTCTAGTCTTTTCACCTCATGGACTTTATTTACCCAACTTTAACAAGTCATCAGATCGCTGAATCATCCATCAAAGGGGCTCAGTCAGTGTTTTCATTTGCAAAGCAAGTTGATGTGCTGTCGCTTTAGGTCCAATTTACACTTGTGAATACGGCTGGATTGGACTCACAAATTCCTCTACGAGACTTATACGATCAGCTGCAGGCAGGATATGCTGCAGCCGTTCACATGCAATCACACATGTGATAACCTGCAAATTCACATGGACAAACACAGCTGTTTGCATTGGTTCCATGGAGGAATTTGAGACTTATCAATCCAGTCTCATTTGGAAGTGTAAATGGAGCTCTTGAAACCCCATGTAATGAATTAAATGTTTATATGCAAACAAAGATTGTATACTAATAGATAACTAAATGAAACTCAGCTCCAAACCACTGTAGTTTGCCTTTTAAAGTACCTGTTTTTTTTTTATATTTATTTTTTTAAATATAAAGTGTTATGTAATTTTAATACATATGTTCATTAACCACTTGCTGACCAGGTGTTTACACCCCCTTCCTGGCCAGACCATTTTTCAGTATTCAGCATTAGCGTTTAAAAATGCCCACCCCCAATTCAAGAAGCCGCTGTCCAGCTGTTTAATTACAATGGCCGGACAGCAGGTGGTTAAAAAAAGAAAAGCAATTTCTAGCTAAACCTCCATGCAGCCCTGAGGATGGAAATGTTAGAAGGGTATTAGTTGCCTAGGTTAATCATTAGTTTGTTCATGGTAAAAGGGAATGTATGATGGGTACCCCCAACAGGGCCCAGAGCAAGGAAGAGGAGTGCTGTTGTGAAAGGAAGGATAATTTGAATGACATGGCTATGTTCTTGGATTCCATTGAGGGACACAGGAAGTCTTTCACCTTTATGTTGTATCACCACCTTCAGGAGGATCGGACACTTAGAAAACAAAAAAATGTAGACAAGCCCAGGATAACCCCTCCTACCACCAGCATACCTCCATTTTGTAGCAAAGCAGTACTAGGAGCATGATTATAAACACAGAGGTGGACTCCAAGAAAAGGATTTGATGGTGAGTACAAGCAATTACCGATCTGATAGAGTTCACCTTGACAAACCAGGGTGGAAACTTATTCTTACAACCATAAGCTTGAATAATGATCTGTCTGAGCCACCTGGAACAAGATGCAGGTGTCCCCTCATGAGGACCACCTGGAATGACAAGAATGGAATATCTTTCTGAAATAGACATCACAGCCCAACCACATCCAATGAAGGGAAACTTCCTTTTTTGTCAACTGGAGCCAGACAGAAGAATGATGTTCTGGTTAAGGAGAAAGGATGTCCCGGGCCTCAAAACCAGAAAAGGTTCCTTGCAGGCTAAAGCCGCCGGTTCAAACATGGCTACAAGGAATGCCACTCTGTACATGAAAGTAGAGAGAGGAATGCCTCTAATGGGTTCACATTGCTAGTCCAAACCCAGCTGCAGGAAGGAAAGGCTTTGTCCCAGAGAAACTCCTAGTTTGGAAGCCCTGAGACTAACACCAAGCAAAGTATGCCTTCCATGTTCAATGATAGACCTTGCAGGAAGTGGACTTTTTTATAATTCTTTATGTGGTCAACACACGGTAATATGTCAAACAGAGTTAGTACTTTACAAATTCAGCTCCCCACTGGGAGAGCACTAGAGAACAAGGACATTTTTCAAAGAGTTACATCACTCCAGGGCAAAGGAATCTGCTAAGGTGGAGTAGAAGAATTGGGTGACATAACTAGCATGTAAGGGGCTGTGTATCCATAGTCTCCATGCAGATACCAATTTTGACTTCCTAGCTTTTAACATCAGGAATCCTTGATTCAGAAATGGCCATCTCTCAGAATCTGGATTTCAACAGCCATGCTGTTAAAGCCAGCATCTGCCTAAGCCAATCGTAAGCAATGTGGCTCACCATCTCGATCCTGTGAAGCAGATAAGGAAGTTTCAGGGGAAGGAAGGCATAGATCAGGGTGTACTGATCCCAGTCACCAGAGCATTCACCATTTTCACTAGAGCATCCCTGTATCTGGAGGTTGGAAAAAAAAAGCTCTTTAACAGCAGTTTACACTTACCCCGTCTTCGCTTAGTAGCCTTTTTGCTATGTTTGCCACGCAGATATGACTCCATTGAAATCAATGGAGCAGCGCGGTAAATGCGTGTTCGCGGGACATGCAGGTGTAAACCAGGCCTTACTCTTTACTCACAATTAGTTTGGGAGGGCCAATCAGATTTGTCCCTTAGGTCTGCAATTAGGTGCACTGTAGTAAGGAAATTTAGGCGGCCGTCTCAGCCCATGCTGGGGCCTGGCGGCTGCCTAATTTGTGTGAGTCCAGACCGCCCAGGACTGGCAGCGGTGTGGGGGAGAGGTCAGGTAGTCTCTGTACCTCATAGCCAGGATTAGAACAAGTGAGCTGTGCCCCAGACTGGGATGAGAAGTCAGGTGTGGTATGTACCCTATAGCTAGGATTGGAGGTCAGGTGAGCTGTGTACCCCATAGCTGGCAGGGGGATGTGGAGACGTTTTCATGAAATCCTAGGAGCAGCCCATTAATGAGGAGCAGGCGCGGGTCCGTGTGCCCAGGGACTGGCCCAGAGCTCCATGGCACCGAGGACCAGGATACGGCACCAGTCCTCTATAGATAATGGTATTCTGCATTACTGTATAATGTGTTGCTGGGATTTGTAGTGCTCTAACAAAATCATATTATTTTTGTATTGTTGTACAGTGTATTGCTGAGATTTGTAGTCCTCTGTAGCTGGTACCATTTTGCATCGCTGTATAATGTATTGCTGGGATTTGTAGTCCATCACTGGTGGTATTGTGCATTGCTGTATAATATATTGCTGAGATTTGTAGTGCTTTGTAGCTGGTGGTATTCTGCATTGTATAATGTATTGTTGGGATTTATAGTCCTCTATACAGTGGAAGAAATACCAGGGTCACATAGTTCCAGATGTGACTAGGCCCTAGCATTCTGTCACTTGGGGGGCCCAGACATGAGGAAGGGGGCCCTGGTAACCGCCAACAATGCAGGTTCCCGGGCCCCCTACCTTCAGTCTGGGGCCCTCCATCCTTAACTTTGTGCCTGGATCATGTGTATCACAAAGCTCTACAGCAAAAAAAACATAGTAATGTGCAGTGTGGATGACAGACCCATTTTAATGACAGTAATGTGCCAAATGTTGTTTGGCAGAGATTCCGTTGCTGCACACAAAAATGTCAGGATGTGTAAAAAAGACAACTGCAACATAATGTATTACAATATTCTGTTCTTTTTTTCTGGTAGTGCCCCTCAGGAGACTAGACTCTGGATCCGCCCTTGCCCGCTAAATTAGGCTGCCGCTCTGGGATTCGAATCCTGTACACCGCAATCGATGAGAACTGATTTCATTGCGGATGGCACCGGTGCCTGGCGATATTCGTGATTGGACTGCATGTCACAACCACCGGGTGCCAATTACATCCGCAATTAAATCGGCTCTCAGCGGTTGCGACATGTAATCCACCGCCGCCCACAATCTCCATGGTGCTGGGAGGAAATTACATCACTCCCAGCACTCTATGGTAGATAGCCGCACAGGAGGGAAAGAGGGAGACATTAACCACCTCCCGGCCTGCCGTTGTGTATACACAGCCGGCCGCTTCTTGGATGTAACTGGGCGTGTATACACGTCCTGTTAAATCCACCCTGCTCAGGCGTGCGCGAGCGGGAAATGCCGGTTATTTTAAAACAGGCAGTGATGCCGGTTACTATACAAGCGATCCGCCGGTACCAAGGTATTACTGTATAGTAAAAAATAAAACCCCCAGTGGTTATTAAATACCACCATAAGAAATATCTATCTGTCCCCAAAAAATGGTATAAAATTCATTTCAGTACAGCATTGCATGACGGAATAAATGTCAGTCAAAGTACCGCAGCGCTGAAAAATGGCCTGGCCAGGAAGGGGGTGTAAACACCTGGTCTTCTAGCGGTTAAACCACGCCCTTCTGGCCCTGAGTCTAACCCTAAACTACCAGTATGGTGAGGTGAATGGGACAGTGTGTGTGTGGTGTGTACCTCATGTTACCGCTGTATGTGTAAACAGGCCCTAAAAGGTTTTTAGCTTGAGCTTGCTCATCAGAGCTCTTGATCAGGGATGGAAAGAAATATTCATCTTCCTAGGCAGGACTTTTACCCCAGAGGTCTGCTGTGTAT